CTCTCTCTCTCTCTCTCTCTCTCTCTCTCTTAAATACCGACGAGAAGGCGAAGATCTCGAATTTGAACGCCGATATAGTCACGCACGGAGCACTCGCGCGAGAAATCGATTCGTTCTTTGAGGGTGACCGACGGTGGGTTTCTTGTGGAATCCGTGAATTAGTACAAGGGAGATCATTAGCCAATACGCCAAGGAGTGGTGATCTCGTGAGGACATTTGATGAGGAGCGACTCTCGGATAATACTGATGAAGATCCAGAAAGCATCATCTTTCGATAACAACTTAGAGGGTATTCTATCAGGGTGGCTTCACGAGGGAGCGACGCCTCGTAGCATGTCGGCTATTCGTATCAACGTGGAAGAGGTTTCCAACGGCGGCCAGGGTATCATTAGAGACGTAAGTCCATTGCGCGGCAGCTGCTGCTCGATAATCCAATCCTCGATGTAGTAACATCTTACCTCGTCGGCGATGACGGAGGGGGAGTATGGAAGGGAAGTTGCAACGTCGCGGAAATCACGCGTGTCTCTCGCTTTTTATCGTTCGCTGGCTTTCTATTTCACCGTTCCTTCCGCCATTCAGGTGGCTGCTGCTCATCCTTGTTTCGATCTCTACATCGAAGATCAACGTAGCTCGCGAGACCCGAAGTCACTTTCACGGTTGCGCGATGAGTGTCTCTCTTGGTCTTCGGCGGGAAAACACATCGCGGTACAAAGGGAACCACGAGCGTAATCAGGAATCGCATCCGACGAAACGATTGGAGCGAACTAATGAGCTAATAGGTCACACGCATTCACGACAAAATAGCTCTTTTGGCACTAAAAACGAGAATATATTTACGCCGTTAATTATACCCGCGTTTACCGACGACTCCTCTGCATCGTAAAATGGTCAATGAGACGTGCAGCTAAACTCGATTCTATTCACTGGTGCAAACAACTTCCGTCTAGTATAAATTTGAAAAATGTATACGTGTACATGCATACTGACGTTAGATTCATTTTGGTCACGGACTTCGGCTGGATGATGATTTATGACGGCAAGATCTTGATGCTTGAAAGGTATCTGTTACGCAGAACTACGGTCATGTACACGAACTACGGTGTGAGGAACAAGTTCAACGCACGTACGCGTGTGGCGAGCCTTAACGGGCGGCGCGATTTTAATAATCGATGTATTCCGGTAAAAGGCGTCGAATGCACTAGGTTCATGGGCAACGTGTACAACTACACACTGCAATACCGTTCACCGCAAATAACTTAATAAGCTTGATAGCCATCCAAGTTTTATGTAATGCAAAAAACGGAGTTCTACAACCTCATTACCAGTTGGGAAACGAAGGGCAGTATTGTTCCCATGTAAATGCATCCCATGTCGAAAGTAACTGAAGAAAATATCGCATTAGATAAAAAGTCTTTCCGAACGCTCACCAGCTGATATTCTACGTTAACTACATAGTAATTGTTATCCGTGAGAATCCCTGTGCTCTCTGAGATAGCAGGTATTAACTTTACCTGCATTTGAAGATGCAGCTCAACAATAGCGCGCGTCACGCATAATTACACAATTTCTCCGATACGGAAGTATCTCTCGACTCTCGTTTAGAAAAAAGAAGTCTACTTTCGTAAGATCACAGAATTTATCGCATTAAAAATAAAATGACGGTGTGTCCAGGACACCCTATATGTTTGATTATTCCGGTTTTTGCCAGGCGTTTAAGTGTATGTCGGTATCGTTTTCTTTCGGTTTCGTTTTTATGTTCGACAGACTGCGGTGCGCGGTGCTCCGTATATAACTGGAAACGACCCGACTTACTCCTTCGTTCACGTTTGTAACGCCAAGTTTACCTTAGTATTAATAGCAGCTAATTAGAATAACGTCGCGTGTGTAATAATGCGACTTTTACCAGAGAACCCGTACAACAGCCGCGAAACACACACCATTGATTTATTCATGGTAAAAGATTCAGTTTCACTTATATACCACCGATACTTTAAACTTTCACGCTTGGAGCAATCGCAGAATATTTCAGTCTCATCGAGTATGCATATCATAAAAATGCAAAACGACATGTATTTCCTAGAAAATTCTAATTCCGGCTTGATAATAATTAATAAAATTCTCATTAGTGCCTTCTTCCGTAACTCTACCCGTACGTTTCCCTGTCTGTCGACCGCTAATTTAATTCTGAAGTCTCGTTCGCAATTTATGAGCGTTAGTCTTTTATAACGATTCGACGTTAAGGTCAAAGAAATAAAGCGCGGATGCGGGTGCTGTCGCAAGCGAACAATCTACGTGTTTCTACCGCCGCAGGTTGAACGAGAGATCTCAACAAGGCGGTAAGCAGCCACCTGTGAGCCATTAATCATCTCACGCGTAAGTTCCATAATTCTTATAATTTTAATGTTTACGACTTCACTTGCGCGATTACGCGTCCAGGTGAGGTGCACGTGAGGTGTAGCACAGCAAAACGTTATCGTGACGGACCTTGCTTTTGTCCGACATAAATTCTACGGGATTTTAATTTACGACCCAAGAAAATTTTAATGACTAACGAAAACTTTACACGTTTCGAGCCCTTTGGTTTAAAGTTCATCTAGATTTTATTACAAGACAGGTTTCTTTGGGTGATGTTTTACGCGTGAAGCAATAAGATTTTGACATCCCAATAATACACCCAATTGTCATAAATTTTAATTCCCCAGACACTTTGTCCGATATTTTTTTTTTAAATCTCAATTTATGCCTTTCTGGCCATTTCATCCCACGTTTAACTTTTGCTGTAGAATGAAAAGTAACTGTAGAGTGATTTATGACTTCGCCACTTATCTGTGTCGTATCGTACATGTGTAATTTGCGCAAGCATCGCCCTAAATATTATTCAAATGGCAAGACTGATGAGTAAACAAAATACCTAAGATGACAGCTAGATAATGATCGAATCTAACGCCAACGCCTATCTTACAGTGATATCTCGCAATAATATGTCGTTCGAAAAAGATAGAGAACTGCCAATTAAATTCGAAGGTATCGATCATTTATTATACAAAAGCAATATCAATCATTAAACATGACAACGCAATGATTCCCTATGGATAAAAAATTCTGTTACACAAACGGCTTTTATCCGAATCTGATCTTTTTCTACACTATTTATAATGAAGCGAGTAGAAAATTTTAACTATTTACTTGATTTTATTATCGTGTCTCAGATTTTCAAGAGGTGTGGACGGGAGGAATGCATGCGTGTAAAACGAGTGTCGTTTGCCGAACGACTAGTCACGCAAGGTATAATCTCCCTTTTTGTTGCCTCGTGGCACGCCTCGAAGGCGCAGAAGTGGCTGCGAAGTGCTCAAAGGCAAACGTTAACTTTGGTACTTAACGTCATTGTGAGAGGAAAAAGAACGAGTAAAAATTTCACGACGAAAAATGCCTCACGCGACGTTCGTATCTATATCGAACGAACAAATGAAAACGTAATATTTATTCCAGGACACGAGTGAATTCACAGGGCAAATTAGCCATGCGTAGGAAATTAGCAATGTACTAATCTATCACCTTGTGTAGCATGCAAACTGCAGCGACGTGTCAGAAACGATCGCTTCCTTATGCTTAATGTGTTGAAAGCAACCTTCAAGTGCGAACATCGAACTGACAAGAATAACCACAAATAATTTATCAAATAAAAAAGTTTCGACTAATTCCTATACTATCGTATAGAAATTATTCATTAAATTATCAGGATAAAATTATAATCGTTAGATTAAGCAATTAATTCGACTTCAAGTAACGCGGCGAAATCAATGAAGAATCTGACGATTACAAAAAACATCACGTTCGAAGTTTAGTAGTAGTGCACAATTTCTCTTTAGATCACGAATTTTAATAATAAATACATGAAATCATGAATATATTTAGATATAAAGAAAAGTATTAAATACAATTTATTGTCCTAAATAAATATATATTTAAAAAAAAATCGCCATTTACATTTTTAATATAAAAATTAAATGTTTCGTGTAAAAAGTTGAATACATCCAAATTTTTAAGTATATAAAATTATTTCGCGTTTAGTCACTTCTTAAAATTCGTACACTTATCGAAAAGATTCCAATTAATCCTATATCATAAAGTAAGATCGATGTAAGAATAGTCATATTTATTGTTTATTATTAGTGCAACTGAGGAATATTTACTCTTAAATGAAAAAAGTTTAATCTAAAAGAAAATCTTGGATATCAGTTTGTAAATTTCGTGCCAAATACTACGGTGCCAGCATCATGTGTTATATTGTGTGATAAAGATTTATTTTAAACAAAAATAAATAAAATTTATATACGTTAAATTTTTATCTCAAGACAATAAGTTAATTTTATTGTTGACTTAATATTGTATTTTTATATGAATTAAATATTAGTTGTATTTTTATATTGCATAAGGCTGCGATAATAATTAAGTATGTCAAGAATATTTTTTTTATCTTGTCCGTCTCAGAAAGGATTAGAAATCCATTCTGAGAGGGTAAATCTCTTTAGAAAACTCGTGGATTGTAGATTAAGACTCTTTTAGCCTTACGGGGAACGTGATCGACAGAATGATCCGAGGATTTCACTTTCGCGTTCACATTTAGCACATGATTCGTCTCGCGGTCGAATCCCCCTCATGCATCTTGCAACAGAATTATTCGACTGATTGCAACATACCGACTATATAGGGAAGTTCCATGACATTAACATCCGACTACACACAAGAATGAAAGAGAAACTATTTACTAAATTCTTCCGTTGGAGACTCAATTTTATTATTAACGAGCATCTTCCTTTTCATCATTGATCGGATTATCTGTGTACAACAAAATATAATTGCGCGTCGCATTAGCTCCGTGACGGGATGAAAAATCGCTACACGGCAGGTTACAAATTGGATTTATGTAAGACCTGGATGCAATTCATTTTGGACGCGAATTCGCTTAAGAACAGGATCCTTCGGTGGGACAAATAATTTTTTATCTGTACGCGGCAAGACACAAATTAACACCTAAGCGAGTTATTTCATATTTTTCCTTTTGGTTGTCACGCAGAGAGCTTCGTCGTGTAACAAATATTTGGAGAATTAATTTCAAGAAAAATCTCATTAAAGATTTTAAAAAATAAATTGGATCAAATCAATATTATTAATACCTTATTTTTTTTTTAAGCAAAGATTATCATTTTTTATAAGAAATGATAAAAAAAACTGTTCTATTGATTTTGATCACTAAAAACGACATACATATGTATAATCATAGCTCAAAAATTACTTTAAACAAAACAGAAATCAATTAACAATATTCTTCTCTTCATGTATAAAGTACAAATAATTAACAATATTTTTTTTCCGTGCATGAAATACAAATTAAA